AGCATGCTGAAATTTACTGTGAGAAAGCATTTGAATTGGCAAAGGAGATCTTTGATATTCAGGATTCTGATAAAGAAGAGGATCTAAAACACTTAATGCTGATCAAAATTCTACTTTACAAAGCCTAAATTTCAGCAAGAATGCTTAAAAGAGAAGAATTTAAAGAAAGGTATTAACGGATAAAGAATTTACTAAATGTAACTTTATAAGATGATTCCAATATAAATTAAAAAATGCTTATGAAGTTGATTGATGATGCTGGTGAAGTTGATTACTAAGAAATGTCCAAAGAAATTACTTAATTGAACAAAAAGATAATTAAAAGATATAACACTGAAGATAATGCATTTTACTTTTTAGAATATTTCCCGAATTTATATGACGATTTCGAAAGAAAGCCTTATAAAGTTATTCACTTTGTTAAGAGAGGGATGAAGAAATTCGAAGCGTAATTTGGCAAAGACTCCCTACTTTTCTTAAATTTTGAACTTTATCAAATACTAATTGAAATAAGTTCCGCTTAAAGTGGACTAGAGAGATATCTTTAATAAATTGAATATGCAAGGACTGTATTGCTAAAACATTTCTGTGGAGAGGACAAACATTTCCTTTTTATGCTTTTATATCAAACTGAGATCACATATTACAAAAAAATGATTGAAATTTGCTAGGAAAATGGACATTCTCAAAATCTAAATCAATACTTATATGGCTTTATCTAAAGAGCTGAAAAAATATTAGAAATTAATCATAACAAAAATGGTATTTATTCGTCTAGCGATCTAGAGTTGCTTAGTGAATTGATAGCATTTCTTATTACACTAACTTAATTTGAGAAGGCAGAAAAATATTCAGATCTCTACATGGAGATAGTAGAAAAGCTACCATGGATTAGGAATAAAAATTCTTAAGAAGAATACTATTAAGGAAGACTTTTGAGAGAAGATCTAAGAATTCTAAGTGGAAGAGCTAAAGACTGGAAAGAATTCGATAATTTCTATAACTCTATCCAAAAGAATGACAGTATAAGTGAAAAAGATAGATTATGTATAAATGAAATAGTTTTGATGGTAAAAAAGGTGGATCTTCTTTTACTAAAGCAAGATACATCAAATGCGTATGCAATCGCTAAATCCTTCTTAGATTAAAATGAAAAGTCAAAGAAGTTCTCAGATGCTTAATTGGCTAAAATCCTTTTAAATATGATGAGTATGTCTGCAACTTTGCTTAAATTTGAAGACGTTGTCTCTTTTTCAGAGAGACTTGATAAAGCTTTTATTGATGATAGCATTGAATTCAGCAAATCTATTACACCGCAGATGAGAAAACAAATTTCTCAATGGGCACAAGAGGCCAAATAGTAAGTTCATATTAGTAAAATTAAGAATTAAAACAATTATGCTTCTGCTAAAAAATACTTGATTGGTACAGCTGCTGTTGGTTTTACTCTTAGTATTGCTTTTGGAATATTTAAATACCTACAAAATAAGCATTGATATATACTGATTAAATATTTATTTAAAAAAACTAATTTCTTGATCAATTATTAGCAGAAATAATTCTAAATAATATATTATCTGATTTTATTTCATTGTAAAGTTACGGGGTTTTGGGGTTTTGGGGTTTTGGGGAGATCGGAAGAGCGTCGTGTAGGG